TTTTGTCCTCATTTTTCCTCAGTTTTGGCTGACAACACGACCAACTTGGGGCAATGAGATCCAATCATTTGATTTTATTCTTTTTATTTGTGAAAATACTTACTAATAATTGTGAAAAGACGCGATCGTGTAATTTGAGCAACAATCTGGCAGCAATAAACAAGATGAAGAGAATGCCTGCCAGTTCATGTTGAATGTCAAGAATCTGCTTTGGATACATCCGTGGTCATTGCACCCGGGGTCAAAGTCATGCCTGATCATGTTATTCCACTAGTACTCAACTTGTGATTAGTTAGCTATATTGGGTAAAAGTGTAAATCAAAACTATTAGGACTTCTTGGATAGGAACTCTGAGTTGACTACGGTGATTTGAGAAATAAAATTGAAATTTCCCACGTAAAAATCGCGATCCAATTTCATTTACCCTAGGAATGTCGTCTAAAATATTTTCTCATCCAGGCTAGATTTCATTTTATGACCACACGCAAGCAATTTCTGCGCTGCAACAGGCTTAGAAACCCATTTGTATGAATCGTGGCGACATGTTGCCATTCCGCTACATAGCCATAGGTGCCAGGGGAGTCACATGTAAATGCGACCTTCAAGAAAGTTATATTGGGAGCGGTAAATCGTCGCCACGACGTACACTTACTGGTTTCGAATCTGGATGAGTAGGTCTGTTGAGTGAACCTAAGTAGCATATTGAGGTCTCCTTCTTAAATTATGATAAATTTCCTTATCAATCCTTGAGTGACTGTATTCTTATTAAGGAATTAATGATATTCTCGAAAACTACTAACACCAAATATTAGTAGCATCGTCGATAGTACTGACAAATACATGGCTTCTTAATCAACAATGCCACTGTAAATGCCATTTAGTTAGTAGGAGATTCTTCCACAAGCCAATAAATAATTTGGTTCCTATGGTCTTCCTGAGATAGCATGTAGTTGTGCCTACCATGTTCAAGTTGACGCAGCCAATGAGGCAACCGAAGGGTAGAATCGCTCGAATTTCATATAAATGTCAGACGACCGGAGAGCAACATGAGTCCGTCATCGTCTCACGGAGAGGTCTGCAATTGAATAACTTTCACTTTTAAATATGTATCTTTTATTTAGTAGCTACCAGGAGGCTGATTTTCGTCGTAGTTACTGATTGAAGTGATAATGTGTCGATTCATAATAAATTAAGGATGTGATTGAGTTTCGCCACGAATTTCACTCATATACGTCCCAAATTCTCCTTCTTCTCCGAAAAGATATAAAATTCATAAATCGTCCCGACAGTCAAAATAAGCCTCTCAAGGGTCACATTATTCTGTCGACTATGCAGCTTTTGACTTGCAACTCCACGACTCGAGCCCTACCAGGACTTTTGATGAGATCCAGACGAACTCACCATTCATCGAGCAGCATCAAACTCTCTATTCGTTTCATTGTTTGGCTAATTTGGATGGCGCGAAGCGACAGCTTGCATGACAATTGAAAGGCTAACCTGTACTCGAAAGGACAGAAGCGAAATGTCTCAAGGAATTCGTCCGCTTGAACGTACCAGTGGCGAGATCGATCAATAAGTTGTTTCTGCTGACGTTTTCACTCAAAAGTTGGTAATGATAAACTATGAGATTCATCAAAGTCCACTTAAGTCAGATGCCTCGAAAAGTGATCTTTTTTCATATGCTCATAAGTAACATTTTATGATACACTTAAAAGCATTCACTTAAAAGCTCTTCATTCCACTTTTATTATTCTGCCCTGCTCAAACAAAACCCACCTCTTGTTACCGCCTCGAAAAGTATCCTCTATCCCCATTCCCATTCCCCCTTTGTCTTCCTCCCCACTCTGCTCGCCATCCTCTTCCTACTTCCCTCTTTCTACCCCTCCCCCTCCTCCATACCGCCCTTGTTTCCAGCCCCAGGTGCTCTGCCTTCCTACTTGTCCACGCCCATGCCCACTCACACACTGACACAACGTAACACAACACAACACAACACAACACGACCACACCGTCCCCTCGCGACAGTGGCTACAAATTGACCGTATCAATCCGCTTCGAGTGTACGACGAGAATCGGGCAATATGTGGTTTCTCGCTGAAATCTTTGCTCTTCAGGGCCTCGCCTACAGCCCTCGACGCCGGCCAGGCCAAAGGAGGCAGCGCCACATCGGCCGCCGCGGTTTCGGCCGCAGGTCCGATGATCGGCGGACTCAATCCGATCGGCGTCCGTCTCATCCAACAGGCCTGGACTGAGTTGATGCGCTTAGTGCAGACAGACCGGATTAAAAGCATGGTAGACAGTGAATTCGCCTTTGAAGAGGTAAGAAATAGCATGTCAGGCGTCCACATGCCCATTCATCCTCCTCGCCATAGTGATTTTCTCACACTACTATTAACAGGCTTCATAGTACCATAGAAATTCACCTGGGACTGCTCGGCATTGTCCCAGGTTCTATCGGCTTTCCCGAGAGCATTCGAAACCGGGTCATGCGCATCTTGGCGACAGGGTCAATGGAAAGATGCTAATTTTAAGGCGAGCCAGGCCTCTACAAAATCACATTTATAGCAGGCTTGCCGATGAGGCAATCATATATTTACCATCACACTCGATGGGGTAATTTATACTCCATGTAAGTACTCATCATCATCAACATCATCAATACTAGTCATCAGTGCTTGAATAACCTTACGTTTCCTAAGGTGACTCAAATCGTATTCACTCGGAATATCCTTTGTATGCAAATGAAATGATTTTTTTGCTCAACTGTGGTGTGATGATGGTTTTCTGCCGAGTCCAGTGAATATTTATTTACTGTTTATTGGGGTAACATTTTTTATAAGCTTTTCCTTTCTTTGGGGAAGGATGCTAGGAAAATGTTGAGTGACAGTCTTTTTGGATCATAGGGATGCTCATTTCTCTCTTCTTAAAGATGGCTGGCTGCAGTTAACAAGAAAAATATTAGAAAAACGATTAATCATTAGGGCTTGATCATACGATGCGCTAATTTTGATGAGAGTTGATGCAGTGAAACTAATATCCGGTCCTATAGCCTCACCCTCCGTTTGTATAACTGGTTCACTCTAATTGTAGTTTTGACGAATTTAAATAGCGATGCACTCTATTAAAAATGATGTTCAACAGATGGGCTGAAGTAGGTACTCAAAATACGTTCTTTTTGCTTCTTATTTCGCTTCTCAAAATATTCTATTGAGGATTCAATTATTAATATATTGAAAATCAAGGGGAATTCAGAGTAAGTGGTCTACAGCTACTTGTAACCATTTGTTAGTACTATGTTGACTATATCACCATGCGTATGATTTAGTTATCCTAAAGTGAGGTAAGGAAGGATAGTGGAATTTGGATAATAGCATACCTTCCATTTCATTTGAGAAGCCGGGTGGAAGAGATTCTTAGTTTGGCCTCACCGGTTACCGAAGAAGAGTTGCATTGAAGTTTTGTCTTTTGAATTGTGCGAAGAAGACCTCGGCTTAACGTCATACAACCCCGATGACTCCGTGGGACGTTGAGCCGAGGTCTTCTTCGCACAATACAATAAACAAAACTCAAATGCAACTCTCCTTCAGTAGCCGGTGAGGCCAATCTACGAATCCCTAACAGCCGCCTTCGCAAACGAAATAAAAGGTATGCCGGTATCAATAT